GTGTGTGTGTGTGTGTGTGTGTGCGCGCGCGCGCGCGCGCGTGACCTGGGGTGAGGCGTCTGGGGATGAGTAGTATAGGATCTTCTACCTTCTGGGACCCTGCTCCCCAGTGTGTTCGTGTTTGTGTCCGCAGGTTTGAGCGGTTGATAGATTTTGTGCAGTGATATACGAACTGATCCATGAAAATCAGTCCTGAGTCTAATTCCTTTCGGCACTTTCTTTGGCTACCTACTGGCAAGGTGACTAAGATTTTTTTCTTTTTTCTTTTTTTTTTTTTATGTTCCCGTGGTCTAAGTTAGAAAGTCTTCGTTTTGATCCAACAGCTAATTAAGACCTCGGGTCAATATGTACACGTCTTTGAAATAAAAATGTGCAAAAGCAAAGGTGTTTTTCATAAAGGAGACTGGAGAAGGTATACATGTTTTAGCCACTTACACTTTAGAACAAATTCACCCAAAGGGTTGTATCATTTCTGATATCTCACTTAAGCTATGTTTTTATTTTATTTTACCTATTTTCGTTGTTGTTAAATAGGGCTATTTGCTTGGGGGTTGGGGGAATGATTGAAACATCAAAGTAGGAAAAATTTTGTAGCCATTGAGCCCAATTAAAGAAGGAATTCGGAAAACCTGGTAGAGAAAAGTTGCCTAAAGTTGTCCTGAGAGTGTCTCACTGAAGGAGACATAGTGCTTCCTGGGTTCCCCACAGAGTCAGGCCAGAGCCTGGAAGGAAGACAGCACTTCTGGGAGTCAATTAAAAAGAAAAGTTGCTGTCTTTGGAGCCAGGGCAGGGTTGCTGTGCAGTGTTAAGTTGATTCCTGTGGTGGCAGGCATTCTGCAACAATGAAGCGCTAAGCAAATGGGCCCTACAACCCTCAGGGGCAACTGCTTGCTCCCTTAGGCACCTACCACCTACTGAATGCCTACTGAATGTGGCAAACTTAACAGCTTGTTTACCCCAAGGCTTAAAAAGCTGGCGACCTAAAATCTACCTGCCTGAAGAAGTAGTAACAAGTTGCAATACTGTTGAAGATACCGTGAAAGTTTCAGCCATCAGGTATGAAAGAAGACTTTGAGTCTGGCACACTTCAAATCCAGAAGGTTCTCAGGATTGCGCCACTGCAACTTCTTTCTCATTTGCAGTAAGGAAGAAGATCCTATCTCCAAACTTCTTGTCCAGCTTATCTCAAGAGACTCTCTCCCTTGCGCTTTAAGGTTCAGTCACACTGGACTTTTCCATTTCCTTGAATGGGAACGTTCTCACTTGCCTAAAGTATTTTGCACAAGCCGTTTCTTCTGCCTTAATGCACCTCCCTTCCACCTGGCTTACTCCTACTCAGCCTTCAAATCTCAGCTTAAATACCACTTCCTCATAGCAGCTTCCCCTGACAGCCTCCCACCAGCTAGATGAGCCTAATTACGTTCCCAATTCACCCTACCAATCCCATGTCACGATATTCATCACCAGCTTTTATGCTAGCTCTACCTGGTTAACACTGTTCCAAGTGTGTAGCACATGGTGTCTCTGGTACACCAAAGGAAGCCAAGAGCACTGCGAACAGGTAAATCTATACTGTCTGGCTCAAGGTCCCTGTTTTCACCTTAACCATGTAGCTAGAAGTTGGTGAATTTACACAGACCATGAGGGCAGCTGCTAGTTGCTGTGGTTTTAGTTACTCAAGCAGAAGATGGGAGTTGAGGGAAAGTCTGTTACACAGAAAATAGTTTTCTTCTGTTAATGAGATGTTTTTCCCGTTCCCAAAGCATCTTATGAAGGTTACCACCTGGGTTTTAATAGTATTAGGAAATACTCAATTTAAAGTCTTTTGTATACTCTGCTAATTCTCTTCTCTCCAAGTCCTCCAAAGCGGTTTTGGATCCTCCGAGATGAACTGCTTCATCTTTCCTTAAAATACTCAACTACATCAAGTAAAAGTATCCTCTATAAACACATACTCTATCTCTTTGGAGAAAAAAAAAATCTAACTGGAAGCAGCCAACTAACTTGGTCAGTATGGACAGTACTTCCAGAGTTATACTTTATCTAAATAGACCAGGAAACCTTTTCTGTTGTCAGTTTAACTCACCAAATAATTGCCAAATCCCCTCTTCCTCTGGGACCACTGCAGGAAATGTAACAGATGTTGGGAAATATGAAGTAAAGGTCAAGGTAACCTCAAGATCACAGAATTGCTTGGTGGCAATACTGGAAATGGAACACAGGTATGATTTTAATCTTTACTGGGCTATTTATGTCTGTAGATATAATTTTTAAATAATTCTACAATTCTCTTGGTAAGTGATTAGAACAGATTCTTCATTAAACAATTTTGTATCTTAAAATAAATATTAAAATCCCATACAATCTACCTTAGAATTTATCCAAATTCTAATCTCACCACTGAATCTTGTTCCTCTTCAAGATGACCATAGATGCAATGCTAATTCATAATCTGTTTGCTGAAAAGAATGAGATGTTTTACTATATAGGAGAATACACATTAAAATTCATCAGCCCTCTGAAACGTCACCCAAGCTTCCTCTTGAATCTTTCTGGAGAGCCCCTCGGTGAACTATAAGGAGACTATGTTGTTTGCAAGACACAGAATGCAGTTAGATTCATCAATAAAATGCTACTTGAGATAGTTAAAAAAAATTTTTAATTACTACAAAAGACAAAAAAACCCTCAAAGAACCAGAGTCATAGATGGCTGTCGCAGTTATTATAACAAAGATGGGGTAAGCCTGCATTGAAGCAGTGTCAGAAGATAGCAATAATTTGTCCCGCTTGAGGTTCTGTGGATGACACACTCTAAGATTAATATATAGAAAAAAAGTTTCCTTTGCATGATTTTTTTGCTTGTGGTTTTATATTTGCTTTGATGTTTTCAATATGTCAAACATGTACATATTTACTAGCACACATACATATGTAGACATACTCAGCCTTGCTCAGCCTACCAGCTCAAACCTCTTTGCCCTGTGGCTTTGGAAATGTGAACTCAAATGGTCTTTATTTGCAACAGCATCCCTTAGTGGTGTTGAAATGCTCTAAATCTATGATGACTATGAGTGTACAAGTGGAATCTTTAATGAGCTCATTGTGTTTTAGTACCATCAGGGGTTAAAAATAACTTAAGCAACAAACAAGCTTGTTATTAACAAGCTTTCCATAAACGATTACCAACACCACAGCATTTGAAATAACTTTTTTTAAAGATGTAAGTTGTGCCAGATATTGACTTAGAAGAGTCTTACCAATACTGTTTCATTTTCTTGGGCACCCAACTACAATCCCCAGCCTCCTTAAATATAGGTGGAACTATCCATGTGACTAGTTCTGGCCAATGGAGTTTGGGCAGAAGAGATGAATACCTCCTCTAAGCATGTCCCCTAAAGCATATAATTTGCTTCTGATGCCTCTTCTTCGTCCCCCATTTGCATGGCAATATATTCCGTCAGTGTCTATAAGGATGGACAAGTCACAAAAGCAGCCTCAATCCCTGAGTTGCTGCTGGAAAGCAAGTTGCATGGGCGAAAACATCCCAGATGAAGGAGACAGAAACCTTTCTTATGCTAACACACTGTCATTTAATGTTGTTTATTACAATAGATAGCATTAATCACCTCAGCTAATACAGTATGTAAAAATAAGTTGTCCCTGAAACATCTATAGAATTTTTAAAATATTCTTTGTTTGGGGGATGTCAGCCATGTTTTTAGTGCTATATAGGTGTTTGATGATAATTGCCCAGCCCCCTCTACTTCTAGTTTGTTTCATCTGAGCCTGGTAAACTTATTAGAACTGCATGTACATAAAGGGAAAAGTGATCTGGACAAAAACTTCTCTAATGAGGAAATACACTTTTGTACATGAACACCTACATTTTGCCTTTTCAGAATCCTCTTGAGTTACAATTTCATTAATTTGGGTGATTGTTACATTTATATAGATGCTCACTTACCCAATGTTCGTATTTTAAAGTCAATACTTTAGCGTTTTGAGCTGATATATATTGCTTTGTATATGTGTTCACCATAAAGGCCTACAGCATTCAGAAACCAAATAACTTATATGGATCATAAATGTAATGCCTATAGTTCTAAAATATATGTCTGAAGTTGGTATGGTTTTGAAGTTAATGGTTTTTTTGTACAGACTAAAATAAGCAGTATCATTCAGGCACAGAAAATTTGCATGTTGATGCTGCAAAACTGTATCTTTTTTTAACATAAAAAATTTTCACACATGCACATATAAGCCATCTGCTAAAACTTTATTGATAAAACCAGTAGCAGCAGTTTTACAAAATTGGAATGATTTTCAGTTTTCATGAACTATCATGAATTCAGTTGCAGCAGACATTTTATACAAACTGGGGCTAATGCTTTTTTCTATGTTTCTGTTTTAAACAAAAAGCAATTAGAATTTATCCTCATGCATTTAAATATCTAATACAGAAAT